TCTTATCTTTTTCTCTGCTATACTTCTGTATAAATCCTTTAGGGTATCCATTTTCCCTCAGGCAGTTGTATGAAGTTTTTACTTTTGTTTTGATGGGCGGGCGGGCATCCAAATATGCTCGAACGCCATTTCGCGCTTCTGCTTTGTGCTGGTAATATATGCCAGGTCTCTGAGTGCATAGTTCAGCAATCCTAAGCAGATATATTATAAAATCTTTAATTCCACTTAAATGTATATTGTTCATCAGAACACATTTTTAAATTACTCAGTCGTTTTTGATTTGTATTTTCTTATCAGGCCAGTATACTGACTGGAGGAAAGGTTACCTTGTGAAACTACCAAAGAAAGGCGACCTAGGACTCTGCAAGAACTGCGAGGAATCATGCTGCTGTCGACGACAGGTAAAATCCTGAGTCGCATCATCCTGGAGAGAATAAAGGACGCACTGGATGAAGAATTCCGACCAGAACAAGCTGAATTCAGGAAAGGCAAATCATGTTCTGACCAAATTGCAACTCTACGAATCATCATCACAGAACAAAGCATGGAATGGCAATCAAACCTCCACCTCAACTTTATAGACTTTGAGAAGGCCTTCGACAGCGTTGACCGCGAAGTAATTTGGAAACTACTCGAGTACTACGGCGTACCCCAAATATTCATCAACCTTATTCAACAGCTGTACGACAACGGCACATGTCAAGTGATCCACAACGGAAAACTCAACGAGGCGTTTGGAGTAAACACAGGAGTCAGACAAGGGTGCTTATTATCACCAATGATATTCCTAATTGTGGTGGACTGGATTATGCATCAGACAGTGGGAAACGAGAAGACACCGATATCCTGGACCGCCATGAAGAACCTAGAAGACCTGCATTTCGCAGATGACTTATGTTTGATGTCAAACAAAATCGAAGACTTACAAGCGAAAACCGATAAACTGGTCGAAGAATCAGCCAGAGAAGACAGGACCCCAGGTGAACACAGGCAAGACGGAGGTTATGAAAATAACCAACCAACAACAACAACAACAGCAGCAACATCCAACGCCAATCACCATCAACGGGAGGGATTTGAAAGAGGTTACTTCATTCACTTATCTAGGGAGCATTGTCTCAACTACAGGAGGAACGGACGAGGATGTCAAATCGAGAATCCGGAAGGCGAGAAACACATTCATCAACCTGAAACCAATCTGGAAATCTTCGTCACTCAACTCAGCATCAACAACAAAATTCGGATTTTCAATACAAACGTCAAGTCAGTCAGTTCTTCTATACAGATGGATCAGAAACTTGGCCAGTGTGTCACAAAGAATATTTCCAACAGCCTGTTGCACACCTTTATCAACAGCTGTCTTCGCTGGCTCTATACTGAAGATCAGATGGCCGGAAAGAACAAGAACCAACATGAGACTATGGGAAGAAACAAAACAAGAACAAATCGCTCAACGAATATGCAGGAGAAAGTGGAGATGGATTGAACACTCGCTGAGTTGGCCGCTGGGTGACATCGCGCGTCAGGCCATACCTCGAGTGGAAGCCGAAAGGGAAGCGGCGAGTGGGACGTCCAAGGGTGATGAGGAACTGAAACAGCATGGATTAACATGGATGCAAGTGAAAAGTACAGCACAAGACAGAAGCAAGTGGAGGCGTGCAGTTGAAGCCCTGTGTTCCACTAGGAACCCAAGGGAACAATGATAATAATCTCTCCTTCATTTGGTTACGTAATAGTTGGCTTTTACCTCTCCCCTCTTTGGTACAGTGTTATTTTGCTTGTCTCTTGATCCTATGATTTGAAGTGAACACACCATATTATTATGCATCTTATTAGTTACTTATATCACCTCCAACCATCTAATATCATCACAAACAATGTACACCGTGATGGCGAGCTACCTAGAATGGTGGCCACATTACAACCTGACTGATAGAATTCAGTCTGCACCAAAGAGAGGACTAGACGCATCACACTAGTTACTAGTGTCAAATCAAAATATCAAGACTCAATAGCATTAAAAAGGTGTCACCTGTGTAACGACAACACAGTCCCATTTTTCCTATTTCATGTTTTAACTTAAGATTTTCTAGTTTCGCTAGAAATATTTTCGCAAATATAGGACCTAGTGGAAATTCTATAGTCATTCCATTAACCTGTCTGTATTTTTCATTATCAAACAAGAACCGGACATTCATTGTACATTTAAGCAGTAATTAGTTGAGATTATTAGTAGGAATATTGGGGAACAATATCCTTTGTCTGTTGGCAGATATAGTCGACGGTTTCCATCAGAGGTACATTAATGAATAAGCATGAATAAAGGATATCATATGTTTTTCAGTTGTGTTCAAGTTTTTTTATTCTTATGAAAGAACGGAAGGGTATCTTAGACGCTGTGGTTCACTGTCTCATCATACAGGGGCTTGAGTAACTGCATCAGTCATTTCTCAGTCTCCTCATAAGGTGAATAAGACATGTCTAGCATGAGATGGAGTAGCACTCCTTATTTATACACTTTCGATAAACTTTACCTATGTAAAAATTGGTACTCCTTGTGTTTTAGGTTTTCCTATGCCCTTTCCTCTTAGTTCTTTTAGTGAGTTCGTTATGACAGCCCAGATGTTGGTAACAATCACAATTATTATTCCCGTTTACCAATAAAAATCATTTTAAATAGTCTAACTGCGTATTGATTGATAAAATGACTAGATATTCTTCCCACGAAGTGCCAATCTTGTGAACAGAACAGATAATAGGATACTAGTGAGTCAAATAGTGTAGGAGTAGCGCATACATCTGAGCATAAAAACAAATTACCACGTACCAGACTATTCATATGGCAAAGAACAAGGCATAAAGGCTGTAATCATCTGATTCGCTGGTTATGATATCAGCAAACAGAAATCTACCGATCAGAGTATTAAAAGTCAATCTGAACGAAGAATATTCTTTTCAATAATTTCTCTTCAGGTTCTTACAATTATAAAATATAATACTTGTTGTGGTTACAATAAAGGCCAGTTATGCGGTGGATACATTTTTAACGTAGAATAACAGATTAGTTATAGGGTGTCAAAATAAATAGTCGTATTTGTGTGACAAATGTGCTAGGCTGAATTCGATTACAAAATATTGTAAAACGGGAGACAATGGTGATTAATCATAATAGATTTGTAGAGTGTGGGGTAGGAAAATTGACAAGTCAGTTCAAGGTTATAAAAGGTGTCAGGTGAGTGGCTAGTACAAAGTGGTCTGTGTTAAACAGGAGATAGTAAGACTGCAATGGGAGGTTCATAATGAGATAACAAATATGTGAAATGAAACAGGTGGAGGCATACATTATAAATTATTTAAATTAATCCCAGCGTGTTAAGATAATCAAAACAAGATTTTTCTGAACGTTTTATTAATCATCAAAATATATCAAAATATATTTTGATGATTAATAAAAATCCAAATAAATCTGCTGAAGAAGGATTTTGTAGGGAATTTGATAAAAATCACTGTTAGAGAATCATTGGAAACCAAGGATCGGAGGATAGGTGTTCAACATTGTGTACTTACTTGTGACTAGTGATGGAAACCAGGGCCTCCACATTGAGAGAGACGTAAGCGAACTATACGTGATAATGACTTCGGAATTCGGTATATAACCCTGAAAGCTGTGTTGACATCGATATGATGTACAGTATCGACCAAGTGTGACAGGATCGACCTTTTTATGCACTTAGGTAAGACATCTTTGAGTTGCTTAGCTCTTTTTCATGCATATACTATTTCAACTGTTCCTGTAGTTTAAGTTATATAGGGCGCATGATTAGGCAGGTTCGTCTACGGGTTCGAGAACATTTACCAGCTTGGTTCAGCAGGGGGAAAATTAAGTGCATAAAAAGCTCGATCCTGTCACACTTGGTCGATACTGGACATCATATCGATGTCAACACAGCTTTCAGGGTTATATACCGAATTCCGAAGTCATTATCACGTACAGTTCGCTTACGTCTTCTACACATAGCTGAAGCTGTTGCAATAAGATCGACTAAACCGGAACTTTGTATCCAAAAAGAATACGTCCAGACGCTGTTCCTACTGTGGCCAAACTTGGATTGATGATTCTTCTTCTCACCAAGAGTGCTCCTTCCCCTTAACCCTCTTGCCTTTTTTTCCTTTGCTTATTATTAGAAATATTATTATTACAATTATTACTATTATTATTCGTCATAATTTATGCCCTTCAAGCAAACATTTTCCTTAATACTATCGAATTTTCGTTTATACTATCCGGACTTATTATTAGTGATATTATCTCTTTTCTCAATATATGCCTCCACCTGTTTCATTTCACATATTTGTTATCTCATCATGAACCTCTCAATGCAGTCTTACTATCTCCTGTTTAACACAGACCACTTTGTACTAGCCACTCACCTGACACCTTTTATAACCTTGAACTGACTTGTCAATTTTCCTACCCCACACTCTACAAATCTATTATGATTAATCACCATTGTCTCCCGTTTTACAATATTTTGTAATCGAATTCAGCCTAGCACATTTGTCACACAAATACGACTATTTATTTTGACACCCCATAACTAATCTTTTATTCTACGTTAAAAATGTATCTGCCGCATAATTGGCCTTTATTGTAACGACAACAAATATTATATTTTATAATTGTAAGAACCTGAAGAGAAATTATTGAAAAGAATATTCTTCGTTCAGATTGACTTTTAATTCATAATATGGAAATTTTCCACACTATCAATCAGAGTATGATGACTAAATTACCTAGGTAACTTACATGTTCTCTGATTGGTAGATTTAAATAGTCTGATATCTGAGCCTATCAGTTGATCACAGCCTTTATCCACTGCTACATAAGCATACAGGCATGCATGTTCAGAATATTCAACATTCAATATCGTTCAATAATTATGTATATATGGAGGTATAATCAAAAAAGAAAATTAAAACAAAACGATGCAACAAATTACCTCACGTAATGCACCATCCAATAATAGACGTGCTCTTCTTTCATGTGCCATAGAATCCAATACACCGTTAAGTAGAGGTTCAAAGAAGTGAGTTTCAATATCTAGAAAGTTAAATTAATTGAAGTGAAATGAAGTTAAGGAGAGTAGAAAAAAACGAAAATGAAAATATCAATAATAAAGAGTTTTGTTCAACAAAGAAAAAACACACGAATCTGTAGTAGAATAGAATACTGTAATACTGAGTCATGATTCCTCACCTGTTGAACACATTCTAACACTTTTGATAAATTACTTATGATTTAGAATTGTGTAAACTCATTGTTAATAATATTTTAACTATATTTTTGGTAATGAAATAAAATGTAGGACATATTACTAATATATTTTTACTCAGTTAAAGAGGGAGATTTAAACTTTTAAAAATCAATAACTACAAGTGATGATAAGAAGCAAATGAATCCAGAAATTGACAATTGACAATTCAAGCCTTATACATTTGTTTCCCTTTATGCATTTGAATCAAGCAGAAAAAACAGGAGTGGTTTGTTCACAGTAAAAATTGTTCCCATTATTTTTTACGTCGGCTACTCATCAGCTGCGTGCAGACCAAAAAAAACTTATTACGTTTCTGTAAAGGGCAATTTTAACATACTTGCAAAGGTGACATTCAATAGGAGACTCCAAAGCTACCAAATAGCTTTCAGAGACTACACTTATATAACTGATATCCAAAAGGTTCAAGTTTAGACGAAGATAAGAGCTTGGATGAAAATGACAAGAGGTAGGTAAGTACATGATATAAGTAACTAATAAGATGCATAATAATATGGTGCGTTCACTTCAAATCATAGGATCAAGAGACAAGCAAAGCTACACTGTACCAAAGTAAAAGCCAACTGTTACGTAACCAAATGAAGGAGAGATTATTTTCATTGTTCCTTTGGGTTCCTAGTGGAACATAGGGCTTCAACTGCACGTCACCACTTGCTTCTGTCTTCTGCTGTACTTTACACCTGCATCCATGTTAATCCATACTGTTTCAACTCCTCTTCACACGATCTCCTCCATGTCACCCTTGCACTGACGACCAACTAGCCGCTTCCCTTTCGGGTTCCACTCGAGTTATGGCCTGACGCGCGATGTCACCCAGCGGCCTCCTCAGCGAGTGTCCAATCCATCTCCACTTTCTCCTACATATTTGTTGGGCGATTGGTTCTTGTTTTGTTTGTTCCCATAGTTTCTTGTTGGTGATTCTTTCCGGCCATCTGATCTTCAGTATAGAGCGAGCGAAGAGAGTTGTTGATAAATTTCTGCAACAGGCTGTTGGAAATATTCTTTGTGACCCGCCGCCAAGTTTCTGATCCATCCGTATAGAAGAACTGACTGACTTGACGTTTGTATTGAAAATCCGAATTTTGTTGTTGATGCTGAGTTGAGTGACGAAGATTTCCAGATTGGTTTCATGTTGATGAATGTGTTCCTCGCCTTCCCGATTCTCGATTTGACATCCTCGTCCGTTCCTCCTGTAGTTGAGACAATACTCCCTACCTAGATAAGTGAATGAAGTAACCTCTTTCAAATCCCTCCTGTTGATGGTGATTGGCGCTGGATGTTGTTTCTGCTGTTGTTGTTGTTGGTTGGTTGGTTATTTTCATAACCTCCATCTTGTCTATGTTCACCTGGAGTTCTGTCTTCTCTGGCTGCTTCTTCGACCAGTTTATCGGTTTTCGCTTGTAAGTCCTCGATTTTGTTTGACATCAAACATAAATCATCCACACGCGAAATCCAGGTCTTCTAGGTTCTTCACGTCGGTCGGTCCAGGATATCCCTGTCTTCTCGTTTCCCACTGTCTGACGCATAATCCAGTCCACCACAATTAGGAATATCATTGGTGTTTACTCCAAACGCCTCACTGAGTTTTCCGCTGGGATCACTTGACATGTGCCGTTGTCGTACAGCTGTTGAATGAGGTTGATGAATATTTGGGGTACGCCGTAGTACTTGAGTAGTTTCCAAATTACTTCGCGGTCAACGCTGTCGAAGGCCTTCTCAAAGTCTATCAAGGAAGTTGAGGTAGAGGTTTGATTGCCATTCCATGCTTTGTTCTGTGATGATGATTCGTAGAGTTGCAATTTGGTCAGAACATGAATTAAGGCATCCAATTACTAGGCCAAGGGAATAGTGATAACTGCTTCCTTCAGAATACATATACCCAGTGTCTACAGAATGATAGTGGTTACTTATACAAACTTGGAAATAATTAAACTATTTTGTCAATAGATAATTTTAAAGGATTTCGGTGTGTCAACAGCATGCATGGAAACGACAGCATTGAATGCATTTTTTCCCTTGAGAAGTGAACTTTCTGGTAGATGTTGAGAAAATCGGTGTGTCCTCACTAGTTTTCGCAATGTAACTCCTCCAGAAGATACATGTAAATTTGTATGCATAATTAGAGCTGACACAAAAAGTGTATCTGTCAACCTTTGGTTGCACTAACCAGCATGTGTTGTTCCATAAATTTGAACCAACTTGATTGCAGGATAGGATCTAGCTAGTGAATTCTTATTCAATCTTCTGTTGACTATTCCTGAAATATTGCGTGTTTTATATTTAAACATTCACAACTTCCATATATGTTAATGAATTTCTGATGGTAGTCTTTACTTTTTCAGTACATATAAGGAATCAGAAATCCTTCTTTCAATTTTGGAGTAGAGTATATTGTTTATATGTCCAAACCAAGTTCACTTTTAACAGTTTGAAAAAATTTGGGCATTGGTTAAATGATATTCATTAAAATAAAGGTTTTCTGTATTTCCCAATACATGAAAAACAAAACGATATTGTTTTTACTGACGTTTCGCTATTTAATGCTAATAGCTTTATCAAAGGGAGTTTATATAGACAGACAAATGGTGTTGCTATGGGTTCACCAGTCTCTCCAATAGTCGCCGACCTTTTCATGAATAAATTCGAAAATAACATCTTTTCAAGAATAGTCACTCCTAAAATATGGTGAAAATATGTAGATGATACTTTTGTAGTACTAAAACGAGATCTACAAAATTCATTCCTGGAAAAAATAAACTATATATCTCCCAGAATCCAGTTTACTTCGGAAGCAGAATCAAACGTCGGTGAACTACCATTTCTAGACTGCCTAGTTAATAGGAGGGAAAACGAACATTTTAGTATATCCATATTCAGGAAGAAAACCCACTCCAATAAATATTTAGACTTCAAATCATCACACCACATCAGCGCAAAGATTTAAGTTGTTTCAAGTTTTCTTAGACGAGCACACTCTCTGATAATGGATGAGAAAGAAAAAGAAGGTTAGAAATATCAAGCATTAGTGAAACTCTCAAGCAAAACAACTATCCAAGGGACTTCATCAACAAAATCAACACAGACATTAAGTATGGCCGAAAACGCATTCCGAAAACATGGACCTCAACAGTCATCACTCCATATAGAGCAGAGACGTCAGATGATATCAGAAGAGTACTTAATCAGCTCGACATTAGAGTTTTCTTCAAAACATCAGACACACTACAAAGCAACCATGTCCATATGAAAGACCAAATCCCTAAAGATTCTCTATCTAATTGTGTCTATAAAATAAAATGCTTGGAATGTGATGCGATATACATCGGACAAACATCACCAGAGAGAAATCAAGGTAATCAGAAGAAATGAACACCGTAGAGCATCTCTTCGACCACCGAGAAATCCTGTTGAACTACAAAGATTTGAAAAATCATCAGCCATAGGTCTACATGCTATAGAATGAGGCCACAAAATTGATTTTGACATTCTTCAGAAATCACAAAGAACGTCTAATATCAGAAGCACTTTATATCAAGTGGAATCAAAATTGCCTGAATAGGAATGACGGACTAAAACAGAATCTGACCTGGTTACAACACCTCCCTCCCCCCATCAAGTGACAAAACCAACACGAATGTGATAAGCACTTTCATTATGTAAACACACGCTGCTTTTATAATCTTATACACTTATCAAATCCAACAATCTACACATGATGGTTTTGTTATCTTTACCAATTCACCAACTTGACAACTAAAAATGCCCCCAGACAGACGAACGATGATCAAGTTAGTAAATTGTATTTTGATATCATAACAGACATACTATTACCTTTGTTATTTGGTTTAGTGATCTTCATTGCTATTTTGACTTTCAATATGTCCTTTCAAATTGACCTAAGTCTATTTTCTCACCCCTTAACTGATTGTTATATATATATATATATATATGCTGAGATTTCGTAAATTCCAGTTTAATAATATTTTGATAAAGCAATTAGCATTAAATAGCGGAATGTCAGTAAAAACAATGACAATATGGTTTTGTTTTTCATTCATTGGGAAATACAAGTAAACCTTTATTATAATAGAGTATATTCTTCTGGCTCTGTAAAACAGAGCTTTCACTAATACTCACTGATTGCTAAATGAACAAAAACTGTTGATAATTAAGTATAGTTCCTTACACATAGGTTTTCAGTGAATGGATCTTTGAATAATAATAATAATTTGCTTTATTCCAAAACAGTACTTGTGATACAGAATGGAATTCTCAGCGTTTTTACTACAGTATTGCATCCAGTTAGTACATTATCAATAAATAGAATTCTACATAGATTGAGGAAACCACAGTTCATTATTACAACAATACATTGGCATGTTCAGTAGCAAAGGTAAAGCTGAAACAGTGTTTGAAGGTGTTAGAAAAGTAGGAGCTGTCTTATTAACTGGCGTAAGCGAGAGAAAGAGACAAAGCAGCACATAACGGAAAAAGAAGAGAGAGAAAAGGAACAAAAAGAAAGGAAATATTGTACCTATTGATGAAGTGGGTTGGAAAGATGAGATCCAGTTGTACTAATGACTATTTAATGAATTATAGGTGTCACGCCTAATGCTTTCTTTATCACACAGAACACGAGCTAAGTAGGGTATGGTTGAGTTTTTGTACTTGCTTGCTGGTGCGAGCATATAGTTTTCTATATTGGCTTCTTGTTTTACCTGATGAGATGCAAGGGGAGAGTTGTGAGTGAAGAGGATGGTGTGAGTTAGATAAAATGGATTTGGCCCATTTTTCACATGAGTCCATGTGCCTGTCGACCAGATTATTAACAAGCTGGTTAAGTGGCACGTTGCTTACCCTGCTGACAACATTTAACATCATGCGTAAAATGTTATAGTCTTTCTTCAGTAGCCCGAGAAAAACTAAGGGGGAACAATATAGAATAATAGGCAGGATGCGAGAATTAACGAATTGTAGGAGTAAGGGTTGGGTAATACCAGAATGTTTTAACTTCTTGATAAAGAAGGTAAGACGGAATATTTTCTTAGAAACTGCTAAGATATGAGACGACCAGGAGAGATCAGCAGATAGAATGACACCTAGGTATTTAATTTCCGATTTAGTTTCTATTTCAGTGCCGTCTATGTTGCATACCTGTCATTTTTAAAAAGCGTTGCTTTACAATATCAAGGAGAAATGAAACTTATTGGCTGTTGAGACAGAACATTTTGCGATAATCTGATTGGAACATCTTTGACCCTACACAATTAGATGCCCCACTTTATACCACCAATCAGATTCGTTTAATTAATCGTTGTGTCTGGCTTAATTTCTCACTTATTCAGGGTATATATATATATATATATATATAAATCTTCGTGTGGTAAAGTGGTGTGTTCTCCCCGGCACAAGCTAGTCTTCTCTTATGATGTATTTATAGTCCATTGCAACATAATACACTTCAGCAGGGACTAACGTATGCATTTAAAATTCTTCACAAGTACACACTTATGATCTCACCGTCTAGAATCAAACCTAGGATATTCCGGTTATGAGGAAGAAATTTTCAGAAGTTAGAAATACTAATTCCATACCAGTGATCAATGAGTTCGTCTTGTAGTCTGATTTTCCTTGGTTGGATGTGTGTTTTGATCTTGGGTGTGTATTGTTGAAAAGTCTCAAATTGGGACAAAACAGTTGTCCACTAATACTCAGCAGTTTATAATGGTTCTTTAATTGATGTCATTTCCTTATCTCACTTGAATTTGTACCTTCCTCGCTAATGCTGTTTGCCTGAGTTCACTTGGCAGAACATTTACGCTTATTTCATTACGGGTTTATATCTTATCGGCCTGACAAGCAGCTTTGATCATGCATAATAATTCCCAGTCAAATTATTGTTATTCTCGAGTGATTCCGTGTTAGAAGTTAATGCAGAAATTACTTCCTAATTCAATTACAAGATAATGTACACCACAAGCAAGATAATGAGCATTTAATCAATATTATTACAAATATCTCAATTCTGATCACTAAATGAATTCGGCTAAAGGACGAATAAAAATCCAGAGAGTACTGGTCATCTGTTTCCTCATAGTTTAAGATTCTTCATGACGCCACCACAACCTTCAGGTTACAAGGCAAACTTGTTGATCTGACGGTTACTGCTGTGAAATTGAATGGCCCATTAATTCTAACTTCTACCGATTAGCGGGATAGTGCGAATGCTAGGTAATCTCATCGGCGAGTATTTGCCCTCAAACTCCCAACTTGGTGAACCCCAGTGATCATGATTTTCTACGAGAACTTCAAGCAACTTCAAGCATCCTGTAGTGAATCACTAGTGTGCACTAGATAACTTTCTAAGTATTAGTCCCAATGCCTGGATGGTATACGATTTCACCTTGTGATTCGATGTTCCTGGGTTCGATCCCCGTTGAGTAGAGGTGCGTGTTTGGAAGAGATCTGAACAAGAACGAAACAGCTTTCCAGCACCCCTTAATGGTTTCCAATGGTTCTTTGACTGAAGTCGGTCGGTGGTCAAAATCTAAGTCAATCAAATTCTTGTGAAACCAAAATTTGAAAATTATTACTATTATTATTTTTACGAGTTGATCATGGATTGATATCAGTTAGAGAACCATTGAAAATCAGCACTGGAGTACTGGACAGCTGTTTCATCCCACTAGTTTGGGAATCATCGGCAGTACGCATCCACTGGGGTAAAAACAAAAAACTAACCCTTACAAACCAAACTATTGAAAATTAATTTGATGCTCGTTATTGACTTGCTACAGGACAGAGATTCCTGGAGTTCTAGTGAGAAGTCGTGACCAGTGAGGTCCACCATTCAAATGTCACGTGTGAGGATGGATATCTCACCTACGACAATGGTTGGGGTCGCAATAAATCACGAATTGGTAGAAGTTAGAATTCATGAACTGGCCATTTAATTGGGTCCTAGTGGCTGAATGGTATCCGAGCTAGCTCGCCTTGTAACCGGAAGGTCCCTGTAGTGGGTGAGTACTGCTGATGATTCCCAAACTAGGATGGATGAAACAGCTGTCCGGTACTCCCTTGTTGGTTTTCAATGGTTCTCTAGCTGATGATATCAATCCGTGATCAACTCGTAAAAACAAAACTAACCCTTACAAACCAAACTATAGTAAAAAACTATTATTATTATTATCATTTTGAAGCTTACCCAATTCAACTGAATCATAAAAGTAGCCTCTTTCCAATAACTGTTCATACGTATTTGCCAATAATGGTGCTAAGTAGGATTTCGTAAATGCTCTAGCAGCTATTTTTCTTGCTGTCTCTTTAGCCAGTATTGCGCTTAATTCATACTGTTTCAAACGTCTTTGTTTTTCTTCACTGAAATTTTCAAGTGACATCATTTAAAGGAACAATAATAATAATAGTAATTGAGAAGACGATTGCAACATTGAAAATTATCATGTGTTGGTTTGTAGGGATTTGATTGATTGGTTACAGGATTTCATCATGAGCTGAAATGGGTTAGAGAACCATTGGAAAATCTGGTTGGTAGGTAGGTAGTTACCTGGGGTTCCAGTGGGATGTCGTGACCAGTAGGCTGCAGCAGGTCGGGTGTCAGGACAAAAACTCGCCACGGATGATACTGGCTAGCAGTCGCGCTATGTCGTGAACTGGCAGAAGTTGGATCGGATCCCAGCGGCTCGCCTTGTAACCAGAAAGTCCTGCGTTCGAACCCCTGTCGGTGTGTGCGTACAACTGAAGAGTTCCTAACTGCAGGGACGAAATAGCTGTCCAGTACTCCCTGGTTGGTTTTCCAATGGTTCTCCAACTGATTTCAGCTCATGATGAAATCCTGTAACCGAAGAAAATTATCTTTTCAATGAAGTTATCAATTAGGCTATAAATTCATGCACATAATTTAAATGGGAACACTACCCAACCTGTCTAGTAAATGTAGAAAGAAGGTTGGCATGCTTACAGCTGTGTAACAAAGCATCTAATGAACTCTGTACACTCAGCTCCATTTGAAAAGTATTTGAAAATTGTGTATAAGATATGATCACACATATCATAGGGAGTGTCTTTAAGATATCTGGATGCAGCTGAAACACTTGTGATAGAAAAATTCAAGCCAACTTTATGTCTTCAAAAGAAGTATGTCCAACCTTTGACTTTATGATAACCATTGTAAACAGTCAGTTTTCTCAGGACTCATTATCCAATGTTTTTTTCTATCCCGAATTCATGTTTATTATTATTATTATTACGGTTTTTATTCTCCATTTGTAATCTTCTTATTCGTTATCATTTGATCCTCGACAGGAAATAGTTCCGAGGACTTTCTCATCCCTTTGTTATGTATTTACAAATGTACGGCTGATTGGAATTGGCTTATAATAACAACCATTGTATGATTTATCATGTGTGGTTCATTATGTGATCGAATAACTGTAAAATTCCATCATCTTTTTCTCACCTTGGCCTTGGTCAAATCGCCAACCAATCAGAGGAATTATTTTACGTCGATGTAGGCGAATTGCCTACCAATCAGAACAATCCATTTCTACTGCCCTGGGCAGATTTCAATGCAGTAAAAATATGTATAAATATGACGTGTTTTTTCCTAATAAAATTCATATCTTAACAAGCGTAGGTTAGTCTTTGTCTTTTGATATTTACGTGGCTCAGAGAAGCAGAAGGTACCAAGGATGAATGGACGCATTTAGCATATTGGTTGAGTTGTTCATTGCGTCAGTGTTACAATGTCCACACACATAAGTCCACTCAGTCATATCAGCTGTCAACGAGATCATACAAGATTGACGGCAGGTCCTTAACAGATTGGTGTCGGGGTTATTTAGTCCAGTATCGATATAACAGTGTTGAACAAAGGTGAAATTTAAAATCACCGAAAATACCCAGTAAGTCATGAAGAAAATAAAAGACATTTACTCAGCGAAGAACATTTTCTTTATCGACGAAATCATCTTCAGGGGCTGTACAGTCGTATTTGTATTTACCAGAAATGCATACTAGTCTATTGTTGAGTATTAGGAAGGTGGGGTGGCACAGCGGTTAGGATTCTCGTCGACCACGCACATGGTCCGGAGTTCGATCCCCTACAGACGCACATCCGATATCAATGATTGGCCTGCAAAATTTGGCTACCGATATCACATGATGAAAATTCCATACTTGTACCAAAAATACGGTGTGGAATCAAGCTAAAATTAAAAAAAGATGATTTCGTCGATAAAGAAAATTTTCTTCGTTGAATTTGTCTTTTATTTACTTTAAAACACAAAATAATCGAGCAAAGAATATTCTTTTCGATAAATTCCTCTTCCAGGCTCTACAATTATATATGCATGTTTATATACACAGAATATTTTAAATTAGTAGTTAATAACAATATTAGCGTTTTTTTAAATAATATCGATTTTTATTGTACGGCCTATGTAACTGGCTCCACAGGAGCAATTAGGCGTGTTTCTCGTCGAATTTCCGAACATCACCCTGCCTGGTTAAGCAAAGGTCAAACAAAATCTATTTGCAGCGCTATTCTGGCTCATCTTGTGGAGACAGAACACAAGATTGACGTTAACCATGCTTTCAGGGTCATTTGCCGCATACCTACGAACCTCAATTTCGCTTTAAGAGTTCGACTTCTAAATATTGCTGAGGCTGGCTGTTGGGATCCATGTTAACAAGTCTAATTTGTGCATCCAAAAGAAGTTAGTTCAGTCATTAACATTACCTTGGCCATCCAGGTTTGAATAATCCAGAATTTTTGTGAAATTTCCCTAATTTTAGTTGATATTCTATTCACTGTTATATCTTTATTATTATTATTATTATTATTATTATTATTATTTAAGCATCTTTAATGAACTGTAATTCCATTGGTCATACTTTAAAAATCAATATTATTTAAAAAAACGCTAATATTGTTATTAACTACTAATTTAAAATATTCTGTGTATATAAACATATACGTATATAATTGTAGAGCCTGGAAGAGGAATTTATCGAAAAGAATATTCTTTGCTCGATTATTTTGTGTTTTATAGATGCCTGAATGAATATTTTATTTTCTTCATGAAATATAAAAGCTTGAAACGAGTCAGTAGTCAGACTAGACACCCCGATGGAAGTTATCTGAGATCTTGGCAACCCGCACCTAAGCTTATAATGACTAACTGTATGGTTAGAGGTTCTCATGGTAAATAAACCATTTAGGTCAGTCATTACAACAACATGAACGTATTAATTTGAACTCCAAAAGATGGCATGAAGAAAGATGTTGTATTCATTGAGCATCTCGAAGGCACGACAGATATTCAATTAGTCTGAAATTAATGCGGAGCATCCAGCACCACAAGGGAAAAATTCGAAATTTTTCAACGGTTACATTAAGACAGACAGTCAGTGCTTTTTTATAATTCAGAGAGTTGGCAAGCGTGAAAAGAAATATTTACAGCAGGTTACAACGAAATTTCATTAAAATCTACCCCTTTGGCTCCGTACTAAAGATAAAATAGCCAATCAGCAACGATTTACACAAAGGAGTTCTGTCAGTCAGCCAGCCAGCCAGCCAGTCATCCAACAACCTATTACCTAACAAGTATGTCCTGAAGACAATGGAGATGAATAGATAGCACACAGGCTAAGGAGAGATTTAAGTCACTCCAAACCATAGGCTCACAAGTGACACCTGAGTGTAAATTGCTAGGTGGGCAATTTGAAGAGGAGATGAATGTTTTCTGTAATTGCAGTAGATGTTCAGCCAGTTGAAAGTGATGGCAACAAACTCAATTGGTTAAGAATGCGTTACTGAAGCCTTATATTCCATTCCAAAGTCAAGGAATGAATGACACTTACAAGTGTAAACACAGGAAGTTTTGAAACACAAGTATGCTGGAAATCAACAAACATAGATACACACATATAGAGACCGAATACTCAACTGCAATAGCAATGGTCCAACAGCACACAAAAGAAACTGTGTGGAAACTTAATTCAAAAGAGCCAAACATACTGTAGTACCCCAGTCTTAAAGAGAAGAGAATATATATATATATATATATATATTAATTATTATATCTGGTGGACAATGCTACTGATAATGTGCTTGTGGAAAAGCAGATCAATCGTCAGCTTCAGATTTTACTGATGCATGGTTTTTTAAATGAAAAACTTTACAAACAACTTAAAGCAATTGGGTCACATACTCCTCAGCTTTATGGCCTTCCGAAGATCCACAAAACTGGGAACCCACTGAGACCTATCTTAGACATGTCAAATTCTCCTTACCATAAAATCGCCAAATGGACTACAGAGGTCCTTACGCCTGTAAGAGACTCATTATCAAATCATTCTGTAAAAAGTTCATTTGATCTTACAGAAATGCTCGACACCTTGAACATTAAGGAAAAGGTTATGTGTTCAATTGACACAGAATTTTTATTCACCAATGTTCCCTTTCATGAAACTGTTGATTTCATCTGCGATTACATCACAAGCAATGGGATAAACTAACCTATTCCTGTAACTTACATCAAAGACATTATCTTAATGTGTACAGAAAATATTAGATTCACCTTCCAAGAAAAAGCATAAAAACAAATCGATGGTGTTGCGACTGGGAGCCCTCTTGGGCCCCTGTTAGCAGATATATTCATGTCGAAATCGGAGAGACAAATGCAAGGTATTCTTGGAGAATTTATACTGTATAAACGTTATGTACATGATACTCTCTCATTATTGGTAATAATAGTAAATCTATGGAAAAAACTTTATTACCCTATTCAATCATATTCATCCAAATATCCGAGTGACTTCCGACCTCGAATCGAATAACAAAGTCGGTTCCCTGAATATAACAATGACCAGGGGAGATGATGGAACGATTCAGTGATCTATTTTTTCGTAAACAGACATGAAGTGGACAATATCTTCATTTTACCAGTTTTGTTCTTATCCAGTATAAATGTTCCCTAGTGAAATGCTTGTTCTCAAGGGCCCGAATAATATGCACATGTGACACTTTGATGGATGAGTTTCGACATATACATTCAGTTTGATTAGCTAATGGATATCCGGAGAACTTTATCACTTGTCACAGTAAAGAAAGATCACATCTCGAAAAGACAGCTTCTGTACCAAAGAAAGCTATCTTTATTAACCTACCATTCAAGAGTGACCAGCTTATGCAGTTGACAGCTAGCTCAAAGACTTCGGTCAGCCATCAAACGCACATTCTACGCCGCATCTCTTTTTCTCACTTGAAATGATATCATCTCGCGAATTTTGTCTTCTTAATGCCTTATTCATATTAATTATTTATAAGAAAAATGGATTCCCTCAAAATTTCAACAAAAGCTGTCTTAACTCAGATCAAACTACCAGCTTCAAAACCATCCGTAGAAACCATAAGAAAATTCATCCTACTATGGTGAGAGTTACCTGCAAACAAGCCAGAAATTGTAGACAACAATTGACGTCAGTGTTTACGTCCCGAATCGACGTCATGAGAAAAAACTCAATAACAAAGACTGACCTTGAGGAATTCACCAACCAATCACAGCAGACTTAACGTGTGCAAATACGATTCGCAGATATATGGCCTGACTTCCTAAGGAACGGCCACAAAGAGATGACAGAATAACCTTCAGCAAGAATACAACCAAACAGAAGACGTTGCTTCGCTGCTAACAATTACGAATAATAATGTACATAAAAATCTATAAATATCTGTTGATTTTCTTAATAAACAATCTGTTGCCTGGCCCCCTGCCTTCTATCGTTACACCAGAAGTCGGATGGTTTGGGCGTCCCCTTCAAATCAGAACCCAAGATCGTAAATCAGTTTTGAAAAGATACGATATATATTCTTCCATTAAATCAATGCATACAGATAATTATGGATACTAATTTGACTGAGGATGATGTCTAGGAGGATAACGAAAGCTTCGTAACTAAATCAGACGGCTTAGAGAACACAACCACATGAAAAGATATCTATCTCTTGACTGGAAACTAGTAACTAGTGTGGTGTGTCTAGTCCTTTGTTTGGTGCAGACTGAATTCTATCAGTCAGTCAGGTTTGCAATGTGGCCACCATTCTAGGTAGCTCGCCATCACAGTGTACATTTATTTGACGATATTAGATGGTTGTAGGCAATCGGCAGGACTTAGGTTTCGTGCCAGTTGGCACTCACCAGTGAGCAAGGCGTATCTGCTAGTTACAATAGTAACTAACTAGCCTCTAATCGAAAGTATCCACTATAGTCCTACAGGAGGACAGTCGCAGTGGCTCAGTGGTAACGTCTCTAATTACAGCGCTGGGTAACGCGGGTTCAAATCTCAAAAGAGACATAAGTTGTTCCTTCAAGGCTGTCGCAGATACGCCTTGCTGACTGGTGGATGCCAACTAGCACGAAATCTAGGTCCAAGGCTGGGCTTCCTGTGTCCGATTGCCTCTAACCATCTAATATCATCATATCTATCTATCTATCTGTCTGCCTGTCTATCAACTTACAGATAACGTCTATTACGATCTTCAAGTCTAGCGACTTCAGCTAAGTCAGCATTGTGAATTTCTTGTAGAGCTTCTTGTTGTTGACGTAGGTCGGCTAATTCTTCTTCTTCCATAACTTCTAATAATGATTGTTCAACTGTCTTCCCGATTAATACTTCTAATATTGGCTGTACTTCTAAGTTGAAATCGAAGAGCTACAAAGAAACGGGGGAGGGGTAAGAAAGAATGGAGTGTTTACTAGAGACAGCTAACAAGAAAGCGCATTACAAGATAAGATTGCTGGTGATATATTGAAATGTATACAAAACGATGATATAACTTACTGGAAAGCAATTGTTGCTATTATTATTATTGTTCCCTTTGGCTTGAACAGCACATCTCCACTTTGTTCTATTCTCTGCGGTTTCCACCTCCAGTTGGCCATAGTCTGTCATGTCCCTCTAATAGAATCTCTCCTCCATATCATCCTCTGACCCATACCCAACTCGTCGTTTGTCACTTGACCAATGACCTGGTTCGTGATGTCATTTGACAGTCTCTTCAGTGTGTGTCTACAGCATCCAACTCCAATCTCCCAGGAATATTTGTCGGGCAGTAGGTTCTTTATGAGAGTTTCTTGTTACTAATTCTTTCCTGCCAGCCATCTGATCTTCAGTAACGAGTTAGAGAAAGTGGCAGTCGATAACAGTGGGATTAGTCACTTCACTGATAGATTGCCTGCTGGTTTACAAACTGCCGTAACTCAAAGTTTTATCTCACTACCTTCAGTTATCACCCATTACACCAATAGTAGTTTGCCTACCTAAGCCCATCTTATATATGCAAGTGTAGAACTTGGGGACTGTGGTAGAATGGAATTCTATTTTGATGTGGTTGTGTTGTCTGAGCTAGATAGTTAATTTGCGAAGCTTTCATCTCTCTACTAGGTGACATCTTCAGCGCATACTTCAATTGAATTGAAGTGAGCTTTTAGATTTCTCCACGAGTTTATTAGTCATCTCTCCTGGTGGGTGACCTTGGACGTGATTGGTTGTTTTTGGGTGTTTTCACGCCTTCTAGGTTATTTGTATTGTAACTCATTGTTTCTTTGACTTGAACGTTGACCCTTTGTGTGTGAGGTTTCCTTCTTATCGGTTGGTACATTTTGTCAATCTCAATGTGTCTATTGATTAATGATTCATTGGAATACCAAGCAGTCTTCCAAAATTCTCTAGCATTCTTGTTGTTTCCTCTGTCTAGTATTTGAATATTGTCCCAGTCGAATTGATGCCCGTGTTTGTCTGTATATAGTGATATGAGGGAGTGGATATCATGTCTTTTGACAGATAGCTTATGTTCGTGGATACGAAGACGAAGGGGACGTCCACTTTGGCCAATGTAGTGCTTTTCGCAGTTGATACAATCTATTTTGTAGATGATGTTGGTTTTATCTTTCATCGCTGTTGAGTCTTTTGGTTGACACAGAGCTGAGTGAAGTGGGATGTCAATTCCTAAAGGTTTGACGAGTCTTGCAGTAACTCCTGATATATCCTTTATATATGGCAGGGAGACTTTCTTTGTGCTTTCCTTGGGGGCTTTTGGTTTGATAGGTTGGCTTGGGGGTAGATGTCTTTTGATGAAATTTCGTGGATATCCATTCTTTTGGAAGACGTCTATGAGATATCTCTCTTCAATTTTCCAAAAGGTGGGAGTGCTGCAATGAGTCCTGGCCCCCTTGAATAGTGTTTTTATGCAATTCCTCTTGTGTGCTACTGGATTGTTGCTGTTGTAATTCAGTATTTGATCTGTGTGAGTTGATTTTCTACAAACTTTGGTTTCTAATTCCCCTGTGGTTGTTCGCTTGAATAAAACGTCCAAAAATGGGATTTCGTTCTCAGATTCCTTTTTTCTTGTGAATTTGATGTCGTTGAAGAAGTTGTTTCTTAAGTTGTGAGTTTTATCTAACTCGTTTCTTTTGATTATTACAAATGTGTCGTCCACGTAACGTATCCAAATCTTGGGTTTGATCTTTGGTAGGATTATGTTTTCGAGCCTTTGCATCACTGCTTCTGCAATCAAACCTGATATTGTCGATCCCATGGGTGTTCCTTTAACTTGTTCATATATTTGGTCGTTGAATTGGAAGTACGTTGTTAGGCATAGGTTCATGCATTCCATCCAGCTTGTGTGTTGCATTTTTGATTGTTGTGGAAGGTGTTCATCGTTGCTGAGTAATTGCTCCATGGTTTCTTTTGCTAGTTTTTGTCGCATTGAGGTATACAATGCTGTGACGTCGAAGGATATCATTATCCCTTGTTCATCCATTTGGATGTCTCTGATTTTCTCTAGGAATTGGATAGCGGAGTTGATGGAGTGATCAGAAGATCCCGTTAGGTGTTTTAGTTTTCTGTATAATTCTTTGAATAAATTATATGTTGGAGTTCCTGGTAGTGATACAATTGGTCGTAACGGGATATTTGGCTTGTGTATTTTGGGTCTGCCATAGAATCGGGTTAGGACTGGTCCACTGGATTTCATTCGCTTGAGTTTGCCTGTCGCGCTTACAAAATGACTAACTTCTTTTACCTAGGTCCTAATCAGTACTCTGCCTGTCCTACAAGTACTTAGTAACGAGTGAAAAGCAGAAATAAAAAGGATTCGCAGCGTGCATGTAACCACAAGTATATTTATAACAAATGTGATTAGAATTTAATCATACAAAAAAGGTTTACAACTTATCTGTACCCAAAGGTGTAGCGAGCTCGAAGAGTGTGCTTGTAGAAGAGCACAGCGATGGAGCAAGCGTGCCAGCACCAAAATGTACAGGAAGCGAAATACAGTAAAGTGCAGTGGAGCGAAAGGAAGTGCAGCAAAGCGAAGTGGAGTAACGCCAAAACTTGGATGCGTGAGTTGAAACAAAAGTTCAAAGGTTCAATGTACACTACAACTTTTCGAGCATAAATTATTGCTGCTCATAATCATATCAACTAATTCAGTGATGAATAACCTGTCTCTCAACCTAACTATATTCAATTTTTAATATTCTCACCTTGTTCCACCCTATTTCGTGATTTCATTCAAGTGAATGCAATGCAGTGCAATGGCTGAGCTGTGCTTTTTTTCTAGGTTATTTAACTTACTTAGCTGGGTCAATTATTCTACGTGTAGCTAAATTTTTATATTCTAATAATCTAGTTGACCCCGATCTACCAGTTTGACTTGTGCAATTGACCTCACAGTCATCGCATGGTGAAATTTGGTAAATTATATTATTTTTTCTTAATTTGATCTATCCGCTACTTAAGCCGAAAAAGTTTATCTCTGAGAGAGTTGGTGTGTTGGTTGGTTGGTGTAAATGCCAACCTAACTAATTCCAGCCTCACTAAGAATCCTAGTGAAGGTCTCTGGTGTTCTCTCTTTATACAACAGTACTACAATGGTGGCATTTAAAACAACTAACTCTCTCAGAGATAAACTGTATAACTAGGCGAAACCGCTTGATTAAATCGATATGATTGTGTGCAATAATTTGTGCTCAAAATGTCATCGAGTTATTAATACTGCATTACTGTGTGCTATTTGAAATAGACTTAGGTGGTATGGAGTCATATCTCAAGTATTCTCACCATCAAGGTGAGAATTATAGAGAGTCTGGTGGGGCTTAGCTGTGGAGTGTGTAATCGAAATCTTCTGAATTTTGCAGGAGGGTGACAAGAGATAAAATAGTGACTATGTGAAAGAATGTGCGTCTGTGGCACAGCGGTGGAATGCCTGCCAACCACGCATATGGTTCGGAGTTTGATCTCCGGCCGACACACTCCTTTCCCTCTCTAAGACAGTAATAAGACTGGTAAAGAGGAAAGGTTGAGCATGAGGCTAGCAACCCGATCCCGTAAAAATAAGCACCACTGCTACAGAAACTTCAAGCCTCTAGCTTGGAGCCTTATGTTCCATTGGCGACGTATAGGAATAAAAAAACGTGAAAGAATAAGGCAGAAACAGAGTTGTTCAATTAGAAAAACGAAATTATCACTTGGCTTCAGGAATGGAATATATAAATTTCAGGCAACTGAAACATGCCAGCTACTAGTTCAGCTGGTAGATGGCTATAATTGGTAGTTCGGATGCCTCTGGTCCAAGTCTTCATTTCACCCTTAATCAATAGCCATGATTTCCATTCCTGTAAGTTTTATTTCTTGGTGATAAGATTTCGACAAGACCCTCTGCTTATTCACTTTGCAGTTTAATAAAATTAGTATTTTAGAAGACAGTTTTCTTAAAACAAGTTAATCTAAGCAGACAAGGATCAGTCGGCTTCCCTTATGATCTGAACATTGTCGATTCGAAATCTGAAGCATTAAAATAAACAGACCGGAGACAAACAGACTGACAGACTGACTTACATCATTTTCATAAATTTGTGTTTCTACATCGACTCCAGTTTTAGCCGGTACATACAGCGGTGTCGGTGGTCGATCCAGAAAAGCATCTGTCTGTGTACCAAAATCATCTTGTTCAATAACCTCTGTTAATTCTTCAAGATACAGGCCAGTTTGAACTGGTACAGATGAACGAGTGAATGCAGAGGCTTAAATAAAAAAAAACAAATTTTAAAGTATTGATTTTTTTGTAGGGATTTTGTTTGATTAGCTGGAGGATTTCCGCATGAGCTGACATCAGTTAGAGAGCCATTGGAAAACCTACCAGGGAGTACTGGACAGCCAGGTGTTTCGTCCTAGTTCGGGACTCTTCAGAAGTGGGTGCGTGCTGATGAAGAGTCCCAAACTAGGACGAAACACCTGGCTGTCCAGTATACCCCTGTAGGTTTTCCAATGGTTCTCTTACTGATGTCAGCTCATGATAAAAACCCTCCATCCAAACAAATTTTAAGATATTTAATTATGATTCACTTGACACTAGTTAAGATCAAAAAGAACACATAAAACATGTTGCATACTGTAACTCACAATAAGATATAATTCTATATTTTGAAGAGAATGAAAATTATAATCAATAAACTATCTCGCCTTACATCAAATAAACATTTCATTTATGTAGAAAGTTGCATCAGCCTTAGTGAACTAATTAATTACAAGGATAAAGCAGTCCTATTCGAAACTAATAAATCAGCGTCACTTCTAGCACCGGTGTACTATCCAGCTATCCATCCAAAGAGGTCTGTACTGTGAAGTAATTCCCCCCCGCCTTCCCCGCGAGTCTTCCTTTTGTAATGTCAAGTATACTCATTCTAAATGGAACATATGGAGAAGGGTATTTGTGGGTCATATTAATGTGTAATTGTATTCCCTAATCGGGATGCTTTAACTAAGAAGGTTTCGTTGTCGTTCTGTACAGCATATTCAGCTCTGACTTCAGAATGAATTGAGTCCTTTTAGAATTCTCCATGAAGAAAATAAAAAAACATGAAAAAAATTCTCCTTATCGACGGAATCATCTCATCAGAGCCTTCAGAGTCGTATTTGTATCTACCGAAAATGTATCGTAGTCCATTATTGAGTAATAGCGGGGCGGGGGTGACATAACTGATATAACCACTCAGAAGTGCTTTCAATATTACGTAGTACTCAAAAACACAAAGGAAGAAAGCCTTAGAAATTTGATAAGGTAGAAATTGTTATTCAGTCAGAAGAAAGGTGGTATAAAGAGTTTGGGGTTGTATTGAAGAATCTTCGGAGCCTCCACCATACATAAGAGTGGAAAACTGACGCCATTTGTACCGCTTGGCCACACCTTGTAGATGATCTTGAAAGACAACTCTAGTGGAGCTGTATGGCTTGAGTTCACCAAGTGATCAAGAATTGAGCTAGTAACTGTCTTGCATTGTCCTATTGATAATTTTATTTTATTTTCAATTTTACTTTTAGTTTGCTTTTACTTTAAAAATTAATTCACTATTATCATTCACAAATGCTGCTTTTATACATTTTGTCACCCTCTTCACATTTGTTAAGTGGGCACTCAACTACCAACTTTATTTTCACTCATTAACAATCTTAACCATATCAAATTTCTAAAGCTTTCTTCCTCTGTGCCATTGAGTACCGCGTAATTTACAACTTTTATTTTTACCTGTGAAGGCACTTCTGAGTAATTATATCAATTACGTCACCCCGCACTCCTATTGCTCAATAATAGACTACTATACATTTTTGGTAAATACAAATACGACTGTACGGCCTGTGAAGAGGATTTCGTCGATAAAGAGAATATTCTTCGCTGAATAATTGTCTTTTATTTTCTTCATGACTCAATAGGTATTTTCGGTGATTTGAAGAAGAGCAAGAATCCTGTGGCAGTGAAAGAACATGATACACTTTTTAAGTTTTCTGTCAAGCTTGCCATAGTAAACACAAGAATTCTACATGAGTTTATTAATTATTTCTTCACAAATAACATTGAGCAAAAATGACTGTTTGCGAATGTTTTTAATCCTCTTGTCTATTCGCATCAATCTGGATTGTTCTGCAAGCTTTTTGGTCAAGTGATTTCATTTTTATTGTTTGTTGGCTGGAGATTTATTCGAGCAAAAGGTTTCCAGGAATTGCCCGGTACTTCTTAGTATCTCCTTTATCTAATATTTGTGCATATTTTCCAGATGAATTGGTGGTATTGTGGTGGTGTGATACACACAGTGTGTTCCAGCGGAATATTATGCTCACATTATTCCCACAGTGTCTGTAAGTATGGTATGTGCTTTGCGTGGTCTGAGTGCAAATTACTGTTACAAGATTGGCAGGAGCCTGTACCTGCACTCACTCTTGAAGTTGTTGATAAGTTTGTGTATCTGGGTAGTTGTGCGAGTGCTGGCGTAGGGATGGTGACGGATAAGATTTCCAACCACATCATGAAGACTAGGGTGGCATACGTCAACTTGAGCCACCTCTGGCGCAGTCAAAGGTAGGGTATACAATGCTTCGGTGCGGGCTATCTCGCTCTACACCTATGAAACCTGGTCTCTCCGAGCTGAGGATGTGCGGCGACTCTGAGTGTTTGATCATCTCTGTCTCCACAGGATTGCTTGCTTTCGATGGCATCATCGCGTGAGTCATTCTGAGGTTCGGCGTGTGTTTGAACACAGTGGAGATCACCATTCGTTGAGTGTCGTCATGTGGAAACACTGGGTTTGGCGGCTTAAACATGTGCTGCGAATGTCATTCCAGAGGCTTCTGTACAGGTCTCTGTTCGCTAGCAAGCCCTGGGACGGGATGGAAAAGGCGGAGAGGTGGTCAGTCCATGACGCGTGGCGTCGTGGGATGAAGGATATTTGTGTTAGATTAGCATCGGTTGGTGAGTCACGACTCCCTGGTTGGGGTCCGCGAGATAGCTCGAAACGTTATCGGATATGAACCAAGAGTCGTAATTACCGATGATGAACGAGCTGCAATTTCCTTCTTTCTTCCCTTCCTGATGATAGGTAATGAATACTGTTTGAACTTGTTTGAACATGACTGTTTTCCTTCCTGATGAAGTTCTGTATCTGTTTTCTACTTATATTTTTACTTTTAATCTATGTTGTTTTATTATTATTGTGTGGCGCAACTTTCGTGGTGCCATATTGTACCAAGTTTTTTCTTCAGCGTTTAAATAAATAAAAATAAATTCCCACAGTTCAATACTGCATTAGCAACAGAATACTATATGTGTATTTAAACATTCTATTTCATGTCGTTCCATGTAAGCCGGAATCATACACTCAGTGATTAGTTAGAGAATATAAACGGTGTAGTTATGAATAACGGTTTGATCACTTGAAAATATACCTTGGCTTCCATGTCTTGTCTTCTGATGTTACAGTATCATTAGTTGTCTGAATGCGTTGATATAAGGGGGTGTTTGTTATATCTTCTGATATCCTCTCTGTCTGTTCATCCATGAACAGATAGAGAGGATGTTCCCTTTGACCAACATAATGTTGTTCACATTTGTGTCAGTTTGTCTTGTTGGTGATGTTGATTTTTTCTTCCTTGGCTGTTGCATATTTTAGCTGACATAGTATAGATTAAAGTGATTTTTCTCGTATCTACATTTATGATCTCTATTTTAAAAGGGTTTCTATAATGTGGTCTCAGAGATTTTCTTCACCTATGGGAGAGTGATTTTATTTGTGCTTTCATTGAATGATTTTGACAGTAGACATATTTCAATAGAATGATGTGGATATCGATTTTTTTTGCTGAAAAGTATCCAAAAGATGTTTCTAGTCTCTTCTCCTCAAGACAGGAGTGCTGCAATAAGTGTTGGCGTTCCATCAAACGCCTCAGCTTAGATGCACACAAGTAAACCAATAATTGACTATTACACTGGAGGCGAAAGAGACTTAAAGATGCACTGGGTGCAGAAATTCGCCCCACCACTCCGAAGAAGCTGGACTCAACAAAGGCGAATCATGTGCGGATAAAATTGCAACTCTACACACCATCACCATCAAACAAAGCATAGAATGGCAATCAAATATCGACCTCAACAAATTCATCGACTTCGAAAAGACCTTCTACAAACATTGTTGACCGAGAAGTAATTTGGAAACTACTTCGACACTACGGCGTACCTCAAGTCTTTGTCAACCTCATTCAACAGCTGACTATATGACAAAGCCACGTGTCAGGTGATCCACAATGAAAAACTCAGAGAGGCTTTCGGAGTGAATACAGAAGTAAGACAAGGCCACCTGCCTATTATCACCAATGACATTCATGATTGTATTGAACTGCATAATGCAGAACAGCGTATGTGGGGATCGAGAAGATAGAAGTACGTTGGAATAACAAGAAGATTCTAGAAGATCTGGATTTCGCCAGTGGATGATTTATGTTTAATTTCATACAATCTCGAAGACTTATAGGCGAAAACAATCAAAACTGGCTGAAAAAGCAGCGAAGACAGGAATTAAAGTGAACATAGAGAAGACGGAGTTAATGAAGACAACCAACGAAAGGCAACAGCAAACAGCACCGATCACTACAAATAGAATAAATCTGAAGGAAAGTACTTCCTCCACTTATCTGGGGAGCACTAGGCTATATAAACCACAGGCACACGGCATGGGTGAAGATGTCAAAGCTAGCCAGAATCGGAAATCCATGAAAAACCTTCATCAAGTGGGTAGTCTACTGCACTCAGCTTAAAGAACAAAATTCTTAGGTAAGTTATAATTATGTTTGGTTAATTAATTTTATTGTACAGTATGTATATTGTGCCTGAGAAACATTTGGACTGTGTAACCGACGGACAGTAGTGTTGGGGTAGTTTTGTATTTTGAATATATAACTTATTATTCTTGTTTCCCAATTGTGGTGGACTGTAAGAAGCGAGAAGACAGGCATACCTCAGACTGATAAGAGGAATTTAGAAGACTTCAAATTCGCGGATGATTTATGTCTAATGCCACAAAAACTTGAAGAATTACAAGAGAAAACCAACAAATTGGCAGATGAAGAAGCAAAGAAATAACTTCTAGTGAACAGATCATCCATAAAAGATGGGAGTGATGAAGACAGCTGACTAACAGTGACAAGCACCAATCACTATCGACGACAGATATCTGAATAAGGCGGCCACTGCTGGCCAAACAGGAAGCATGGATGAGGTTGTCAAAGTCGGGATTGAAAAGGTAAGTGATACCTTGATTAATCTGAATTCAGTTTGGAAATCTGCCACACCCAGAACAAGTAGGAAGATTCAGATTTTCAACACTGATGTCGCATTAATCAATTATTCTTTGTTGTGCAGAGACATGGTGTGCCACGTAAAGCATTAGCATGGGGATGGAGATAAATTGGATGTACTCTGAAGAGACTACTGAGTTGGCCATGAGCCATGCCCTCGAAGAAACCCAATTGGGAACAGAAGAGTTGGGTTTGGATTCAAGGTTGACAATGCTGGGGCCATGTGAGAAGGACATGAGAGCGCATGGTCTATCGTAAAGCCAGCCAAAGAGAACTTCAGAAGAACGGATAAGATTAAGATTTGCTGCTGAAGCCGTTTGTTCTCCTTGGCACCTGAGGTACTATCACTAATAATAATACCTTACGCGATATCATACTTTGATAAGCAAAACATTCACCTCACTTAAAAGCACTTTAGATTGCTCATCATTTTTGAAGTAAACATCTCCAATATCTTCAAGTATTGGTTTGGTAGGGATTTTGTTTAATTGCATGGAGGGCGCGTACTGCTGAAGAGTCCCAAACTAGGACGAAACAGCTGTCCAGTACTCCCAGGTTTTCCAGTGGTTCTCTAACTGATGTCAGCTCATGATGAAATCCTCCATGCAATCTCCAATATCCTTCAAGAATTAGTCGATTTGGTCCAAACAGATTCACTTACAAAACGCCATCTATTGGGTAGCCTGCCTTTTCATACATAACGAATATCGCTATCATATCAGTTAAAGCCTATAAAACCGCTAATCATTGATCAGTGTGAATTACTTCCAATGAAATGACGTCATCCATTTTTGTTTATTCTTAATGTTATACACAATGAGGGTAGAAAAAAACATGTTTTAATAGCTTACAGAATTTAAATTATGTCAGGATGTTATAAATAAATGAAAATAAGTTAAACAGTTGTGGTAATTCTTTAAAAAACACCGCACATTATCGTGATGTTTAAGTTATAAATGGATTTTGATTTTCCAATTTGACTGATTGGACCGACAGCGTTGACCGAGAAGTCATTTGGAAACTGCCTCAACACTTAGGCGTGCAGTGCCCAGGAATTTATCAACCTTATTCATTCAACTGACAGTGCCATGTGTCAGGCGGTCCACAATGGAAAAGTTAGCGAGGCATTCGAAGTGAATACAGAAGGAAGACAAGGCTGCCTATTATCACCGATGATATTCTTAATTGTGGTGGAATGGATTATGCATCAGACTGTGCAATGGAAGTGAGAAGACAGAAATACGCTGCACTGACCGATAAGAAGATTGACTCTAGAAGATCTGGATTTCGTGTGTTGAAGATTTACGTTTAATTTCATACAAACACGAAGAATTGCAGGCGAAGACCGACAAACTGGCAAAACAGGCTGGTTGACAGCGAAGACAGGACTCCAGGTGAACATAGAGAAGAAGGACGGAGGTGATGAAGACACTTACTGACCGACAGCAACAACAACAACAACAATCAGCACCAAATACCATCAACTATAGAGATTTTTCAGAGGTTACTTCCTCCACTTATCTGGCTAGAAAGCAGGGTTTCAACCACAGGTAATCAGACAGCATGGATGAATACGTCAGAGCACGGCAGTCAGCCGGAATCGGAAAGGCGAAATTTGTCTTCATCAACCTGAAAGCAGTTTGGAAATCTTCTGCACTCACTCAGTCAGCATAAAGAACAAGATTCGGATTTCCAACAGCAATATTAATTCAGTCAGTCAGTCAGTTTTAATATACGGGTCAGAAACTTGGCCAGCGTGCGTGTCATGAAAAGGAATTCCAACAAACCACTTCAGACTTCTATCAGCAGCTACCCACTTCGATGGTTAGCTGCATACTGAAGGTCGAATGGCTGGTGGAAAGAATTACCAGCATGAAACTTTGGCTGGAAACAAATCAACCAACCAAGAGCCGATTGCTCAAAAAATATGTAGGTGCATTGAGCATACGGCACTGAGGAGGCCGTTGAATCACATCGCACCCACTGCATACCATCTCTCAAGTGGAATCTCAGTGGAACAAGAAGTGATGATTTGGTCGTTAATGTGAGGGTAACATGGAGGAGATGGTGTGAAAAGGAGGAGATGAGAGATTATGGTCAATCGTGTTGCCAGATGAAGAGGACAGAATAAAATAGAAGAAAGTGGAGATGTGTTGTTGAAGCCCTGTTTTCCCCTTTGAACTCTAGGGAACAATAATAATGGCTGGACGGAATTGGCTCCAAGTATGGACGCTTTAATGATGTCTGAGGATTAACTTGAGATAATTTAGTGGATAGTACGTACTGAAAGCCGATATGTCAGTCAACAGAAGCAAAACATTTCGGCTGAGTCGATCACCGGGAAAGTCAAAATTGAATTTTTTAAAACAGCAATAACTGATGCCCTTTAAACCGAGCAGTAGGTCTCGCGGATAACGCTTTCGCTTATGAAACGATGTGTACAGGGTTCAGTAGAAGCACTATCACTCATTTGGAAATACAGACACATCCATTTGACGCTTCCAAAATAGGACTAACTCCTCATCCTGGATCCCACTGCTAGTCACCATCCACCGAATGGGATCGTATCAAACTCATTAAGGAGTTGTTCTGAAGGACTACGCTACGTGAAAGTGTTTTACTTTTGAATGTTTTACAATTTATTACATCAAAAAACAGAAAAATGATTATAACACCTCGTAATGAGGTGAATCATTAAACTGAGGCACAATTCTTAACATAATGAAACAGAATATGCTACTGACAAAAGTAAAATATGTTAGGAATAAACATTTCTTAGTCGACTGCAGAAAATCAAGCGGGTGCGATGGACATCTGTTTTATCCTAGTTAGAGGCCTTTCAGCACTGTACACACCAGGAGTTTGAACCTAAGAATAGCACGTCTTCCCTACCGTTTTGACTTCAAACTTTTGTGTGGCTTTCTCGAATTTATTATTCCAAACTCTATATAATGTCTTCGCAGGAATGTGGAAACCAAAGATCTTAGATGGTGTATTAATAAAACTGATTCTCCTTTTGATTATCGTGGAAAGATTTTTCCCCATTTTAAAGCACTGGGATGATAAATGATGTGCATTATTTTGATAAAACTATCGTGAATTCCCACAGACTAAATAGTAGTACCTTAGTTAATTTACTCAATAGTTAATTAGTGCAATCCACAAATACCTCCAGAGTAATGCTGTTACTCCCTTCTGGTTCGCTTCACTTTAGATTTGAGAAAATCCTTGCAGTCTTTGTTAGATATTCAGGACTGATATCCACGTTTCATTAGTCTGAGACTGAATGACGAGCTGGTTGGACGGTTTCCCGATGCTGTTTACTTAGTGTTCCTGATATTCTTCTCTTTTGGGTGATCGTTCCGCTTACTTTAGATGTTTCAAGGTATGATAATTTAAAAGTCTACCTATTTGGCGGTTAGGACCTAATGAAGATGACCCTTGTTTAAAGTTATTACGAGGACTTTGGGGTACTTTAAGTTTAAGCAGTTTTCACATCTCGTGATATTATGTCCCTGTAAGTATTAATCTCTTTGCAGGGCTCATTTCGCATGGGACTACAGAAATCAATTTGCTTGAAAAAGGCTTTGTTTGTAGACTGACAACTGTCTGTACCGCTAGTGTCTCATCAGCTAACTGCAGTCATTACCTGACCAGTGAGAAAAGCCTTGTTAAAAACACCAATACGTCATCAGAAACAATAGGTTGTTCTTCCACAATCCAAAGAACATCTCCACAATTTTCCCTAAGCTCTTATCTCCTCCTCTTCCTCAAACGATCTCCTCCATATCACTCTCTAACCAGCGCCCAACTCATCTTTTCCCATTTGGGTCCCAGTCGACTGTTTTACCTGGCGCATGATGTCACAAACGGTTTCCTCAGTGTGTGTCATATGCGTCTCTATTTTCTCCGGTTTACTTGTTGAGCAATAGGTTCTTGGTTAGTTCGTTTTCCGCCCTTCTTACCGGTTGATAACCCTTTCTGGTCGAGCATCTGGCCTCCAGTATTCAGCGAAAAGGGGAAGTCACTGACAAAAGTCTACAGAAGCCTGTTAGTAATGTGGTGAGAGCTGTCTGTAAACGAGCCAAAATTGTAAACAGCAATTTACGTCAATGTTTACGTCTCGAATCGAAGTCATGAGAATAAAACAGAAACAAAGCCTGACGTTGCGGAACTCAACAACCAATCACAGTAGACTCAGCGTGTGCAAATACGATTCGCAGATATATGGCTTAACTTTCTGAGAAACGGTCACAAGCTGTACAGAATAATCTTTAGCAAGAAAACAACCAATCAGAAGACGTTGCTTCTCTGCTAACAATTACGAATAATAATGTACATAAAAATCCATAAATATCCGTTGATTTTCTCAATAAACGATATGTTGCCTGGCCCTTGACTTATGTCGTTACAGTTATACTTTCGGTGATAAAACAAGTCTCTGAACCAATCAAATTAATAGAAGCAAAACACCTACCATGACCATAAGTAACATTACCACTGATAATCACTCTGATTGGTCAGTATCCTAACCCAAGGTTATTTGGTTAGTCTCTTAGTTATTGGATAACAGAACAAAACAGAATCAAGGCAAATTAAAAAGCGCTTACATCCAGGTCCAATAAGTGAGCCTTTTGTATCACCTCCAAGTTTTTCTTGTAGAAATCGTCTAGCTGTAGCAGCTCTTTGCCTACTCAATGTACTGCGTAATTCAGCGCATTTTGTGTTTAATTTATCAAAACGTTTACGTGATACAGCTTCATAGTAAATCGTTGCATCTTCATCTGATCCTGCACTCATCAAAGTGATTGGTTCACGGCTATGAAGTGAGGAAAAGACGGATACATAAAATTATAATAAATTAACTAAAATTAGAAAATTATTGATTAAAAACAAGTGGCTTAGTGGGTAACGTATTAGGATTTAAAGTGATTGCTAGTGAGTTCAAGTCTTATTACAAATCGTACCACTCATCCCTGATGATGAGTCCCACATAGGACAAAATGCACATCGTGAATTCTACTTCCAGGCCAGCCACCACTGACATGAGTAACTTCAAGTTAGTCAGCGTGAAAATACCGATCCATTCATTCAAGAAACCAATATACATGGAGGATTTCATCATGAGCTGACATCAGTTAGAGAACCACTGGAAAACCTGGGAGTACTGGACAGCTGTTTTGTCCTAGTTTGGGACTCCTCACAGTACGAACCACCGAGGTTTGAATCCAGGACCTAGTAGTTACAATGCTAGCGAGCTCGTGGACCATTGAGCCACTGGGACCCGATCCGATTGTCCATGAATTGTAACTTCTGCCAATTCATGACATAACATAGCGCGACCATTTCGCAATATTTTCTTCGATGAGTTACTGCCTCATCTTCAACCTGCTGTACCCTACTGGTCACGGCTTCCCACTAGAACCCCAGGTTAACTGCCTGAAATGGGCCAGTCGCTAGTGAGCATCAGATTAATTTTCAAGTATTGGTTTTGTAGGGATTTTGCTTATTGCATGGAGGATTTCATCATGAGCTGACATCAGTTAGAGAACCAATATACCCAAATTTAACTTAGTTTTTTGATAAAGATATATCAAAAGAGAAATAAAAACATAAATAAGTGATCTCAAATTGAACTGCAGTTTATAATATACTATTTGCCGTAAACTATGATGGAGAAAAATGAAATAATGAGTGAAGCTTGAATGGTGACTTCAGTCTTCGCTAGATTCAACTGAAGATTAAACGGCCGGCCGGCCAGCTGGCCGGAAAGAATTAGCAACAAAAAACTCTGCAGTGAAACAAACCGACCAACCAAGAAACGATTGCTCAACAAATGTGTAAGAGAAAATGGAGATGAATAGGGCAAACGATAAGAACGTCATCGAATGACATTGCGCGCGATGAAAATGTCAAAACATGCCAGCTAGAATCGGAAAAACAAGACACGCGTTCATCAACCTGAAACCAGTTTGGAAATCCTGTGCACACACTCATCATGTGGAACAAGATTCGGATTTTCAACAGAAATGTGAAGTCAGTCGTCAGTCAGTTCCTCGAAACCGGTCAGAAACTTGCCCTACGTGACACGAAAAGGATTTTCAACAAGTCATTTCAGGCTTTTATCAACAGCTGCCGACTTCGCTGGCTCCATTCTGAAGATCAAATGGTCGGCTGACTAGCTGGCTAGAAAGAATTAGCAACAAGAAACTGTGGGTGCGAACCAGTCAAGAAGCTATTGCTAGACAGATATGTAGAAGAAAACGGAGATGTATCGAACATGCAGTGAGGAGGCCGTCGAATGACATCGTTCACGTGGAACCTGAATAGGAAACGGCCAGTTGACTGTGCGCCCTACGATGACATGGAGTAAACAGCGCGAAGAAGACGTGAGACAATATGGGCGATCGTGGCCTCAGGTGAAGAGGACGGCAGACAACAGGATAAACTGGAGATGAGCTGTTGAAGCCCTTTATTCAACTCGAAATGCAAAGGAACAATAACTGAACTTAACGACTTAGGAATCGACTTGTTATCAGAGAATAGTCTTATGGACTTAGAATATGCAGATGACATAGTCCTGTTAGGGGAGGATGCTGACAAAATGCAGAGTCTTCTGAACACCTTGAGCAGCAATCTTCGTATGTTTGGCATGCGATTCGCCCCTGTAAAATGTAAGATGCTGCTTCAGGAGACTGGACTACGTCAACTCCTAGCTTAGTGATAGGGAGTGAAGTGATAGAACATGTTGACCACTTCACCTATTTAGGAAGTTGTATCAGCACCAACGGATTGATTGGTGACGAAATCACAGCACGGATCCAGAAAGCTAGGGCTGCTTTCGCTAACTTACACCGTCTCTGGCGTAGGCGTGACATCCGGCTGTCAACCAAGGGACGTGTATACTGCTCAGCAGTTCGCTCCGTCCTTCTCTATGGCGGTGAGACGTGGCCATTGAGAGCGGAAGACATGAAGAGATTGTCTGTTTTTGACCACAGATGTTTACGATCTCTCTCTCGCGTTAGGTGGTATAATAAGGTAAGTAATGTTGACGTTAGGCGTAGAGCGTTGGGCAAAGAGGGAAAATCACTCGAAGAGGCTATGAAGTTACATAGATTGAGATGGTTAGGCCACGTGCTGCGCATGCCTAACCATCGTCTACCCCACCCCGACGGGCATTACTAGCTGATATAGGTGCAGATTGGAAAATAGTTAGTGGTGGCCAAACAAAAACATGGCCTCATCAATCCATGAAATCCTTGACAGTTAAACTGAGTCAGGTAGGGAGATTCAGACTTCCGGGTTGGGGCCCACCCTCGGGACTCTAAGAATCGATGGCTGGCGACAGTAGGCGACATGGTTCAAACTCATCGTTGTCAATGGCTTACGCACATGTATTCAGTCTCTGTAATCTTTCATATTCCTTTCCACTATTACTCATTCTGTTTCACTCTTATACTTGTCAAAACTATTGATTCTCTTCACTCTTTTTCTTGTTTACTTTTGTGTGCTCTTTGGAACGTGGCAACTGGAACTGCTGCACTTGGGTGCCATGTTCTATGTTGAATCCAGCCAGCCAGCCAGCCAGCAATACTAATAATATATATCGATTCAACCTGACACATCAAGAAACACTATATACAAAGAAGAGAAGCAATAAGCTAAATAAATCAAAACATGCACGTAATGTGAATAAGTAAACGATGGCGAATGTCAGTAATCAAGACTGGATACATTTACGTCATCATGTACGATTTTCAAACACGTCACTCTCAGTTTTCTTACACTGATCATCATAACTCTAATGATGCCACCATATTAATCTAGAATTTCCTGCCCAAGTAGGTTAGGCCAAAAGTTATAGACATTATTGTAATTGTGGCATATCTTGGTTTGAACCCCATGAGTTTTCTCCCTTTCAACCTAAGTATGAACCTACTTTTTAACATTCCTCTGAGTTCCGAGTGAAACACAGAGCTTGAAGATTGAGCTTCGAAGTCTCGGTGGCAACAGTGTTTACTTTACAATGTGGGGCCACCAGCCTTATGCCCGACCTTTGCTGTATTGTGGCCTAACTACCACCTAAGTGGAATTTAGGAGTGCGTCTTCTGGGAATGGAATCTTACATCAATTCAGGTGTGTTTGGCGACCATATTGCTACTGAACCCCAGACTATAACTTACCTAAAATTATTCAAACTGGAAGGTAGTCAGTGGCCTAGAAGAATCCATTACTGATAGGTCTCCTCTGAATTCCACATTCAAATTATTATTTATTATTATTGTATCCTTTAATTCCTACAGGAACATAGGGCTTCAGCCGTGCTTCTCCATTGCGTTCTGTTCTCTGCTAGAGTCTTCACCTGGCTCCAAGTTTGCCCACACGTTTTCATCTCCTCTTCACATGACCTCCTCCAAGTCACCCTTGCACTGACGACCAACTCGTCGCTTCCCTTTCGGGTTCCACTCAAGGGCTTGTCTAGTGATGTCACTTGATGGTTTCCTAATTCACATTCAAATATAGTGTTTTAATTGGCACTGAAGTGCATTCTTCCCTTTTTGGCCTTGTTCTTATGTTCTTCTCCACGAAACACGTCAGGTATGCATTTTGAGCCAGGATATTTTCGAGAAATAAAAGGTCTACTACTAAGCAGTCAAAGCTGAAAATGTTTCTGGTAAGGTGGGCCAGAGAAACATCCTAGCTCAAAATGGATACCCAACGTGTTTCGTGGAGAATAACTTGAAGCCAGAGCCGAAAAAGGAGGAATAAACTTCAGTGCCGAAGAATCCATAACTATCACATGATTTTGACCTAAAATATCTGTACTGAAGGGTAGTGAGGTTAACTTTTCAGCACCCTTTTATGTGAGTTTGTTTTTGCTTCTGATTTTATGGTGTGACCATCTTTACAGGATTTTCGATTTTTGCTCACTGAGTGAGACTCATTATTTGCCTTCCCAATCTACTCATGTGGTTGTTTTCATTTTACCTACAATAATTGTTCCTTTCCTCGTTTATCATTTTAACTCTTCGACTTTTCATTACACATTATGTATGAATACCCACCAGTGGACCCCACAGGTTACAATTTCTCACAAGAACCTTCTTTTAACCAGTCACTAGTTGAGCATTAGGTGAATTTTCACGTCTGTTGGTTTGCAGGGATTCAATTGATTTCAAGCTAGAACTAACGAACTAACATTAGTCAGTGTCTCAAACACGGATGAAACAGCAAGCCATCTTGATTTACCTGCTTGTCTATTAGGTGCTAGCATTCTCATCAACATTCGAACCCAATACCCATCATTTCGGACTCCAAAATGCGTTACACATTGGGACAAGATAGTCATTAATTCTAATAGGGATATGAGTTATGATTCGTTAATAGATTGACTTGCATTTCCCGATGATTGATTCTGTTCGACCGAAGAATGCTGTGCCTCTGTTGACGAGTCGGCTCCTAATAGAGGCACTTTCAAGATACCTAAAGATCAGTGTGATGCTTTGCTGATTGATGGCCACTGCCAGTGGAATCGGTGATGCTCATTCCCCTCTACTTGAGACTCGTCACCTGAATGTAGCTGCATTCCCAATGAGTCATTATGGTTCCCACTAACGACTGAACCCTCTACCCACTGATTCAAACACCAAACACTGTTATACACTCGGCAACGAGAGTCACCTGTGAGTGAAGTAGGTGTTAGATGCTATTTAAATTTAAGTTATTCTATATATCCAGTTAATTTGTGTATTTTAAAGACAAGAAAGAAGACTGAGCTCAAGCAGATATGCTTTTCGGTAACTTCTACATCTGACTTTG